ATTCGGGAAATGTATAAGAATGTTAATCATGTCTTTAGAAGGAACATAAGACTTTCTTCTTCATTCGACCATAACACCAAAATTAGTTGTTGGGAGCCGATGTGCAGATCTGTTCACAATTCTCCTCCGTCTGTAGTTGTTGTGTACCAGAGCCTGGGTCTCCGCGTATTATTTCTTCGTGTGTTCATGTGGCGCGTCATGTTAGTGTAAGGCCAATGTCATCCAACTAGACGCCTTGGTCGCCTTGGACGTTTTCGTTCATCTGAGGAATACTTCCACCCTGACCAGTGACCTGCGCTGAGGAGGTCCTACGCCAAGTGTTGTCGTATTGAAACCACACTCACACGCGAGGTTAGACCACCAGGTGAAATTGTTTACCGGGTCATGACAAATTGGAGTCATCACGTAAGCGATTTAGAAAATTTAATACTAATTAAATTGAATTCCTTTTCACGTATTTAATATATATATATATATATATATATATATATATATATATATATATATATATATATATATATATATATATATATAAATGTTATGAATATAAGACTGTTAACTCTACCAGTTAAATTTTTTCATTTACTTTTAAATTTTAGGATAAATAATAAAATAAACTGCTGGCATATTTGTGCATGATTCTACTCTATAAAAAAAAAATAATAAATAAATGTATATAAATAAATAAATAATAAATGTATATAAAATATGAATGTATATAAACATAAATATAAACATATAAACCATTGTTATAAATAATATATATAAACTCAGAAATATAAAATATATAAATAATATATATAAATAATATTATTATTTAATATAATATATAATTTTGATAATTATATATAATTATATATAATTTATATTTATGTAATATAGTTTTATTATAATATAATTTATAATATAATTGAAATAATATAATTAATATTTTAATTATATTGAATTATATATAATTTATATTTATGTAATATAGTTTTATTATAATATAATTTATAATATAATTTAAATAATATAATTTATATTCTAATTATATTGAATTATATATAATTTATATTTATATTGTAGAGGACCGTGTGGGTAATGTGACTTTTGTATTAGAAACACGTGTATAACTCTTGATAGAATAATAAAAGGTCTAACTACAAAAAAATATATATATATATATATATATATATATATATATATATATATATATATATATATAAAAACAAATATATGTATTAAACAGAACAATTTTACAAAGGACAATAACATTTTTGTGTGTGTAAACATTGGTGTCTGTTCTTTTACGCACGTATATGTGTATAATTTTCATGGCGTCTCCAACAAATAGGAAGACGCAGATCTTCCAAGAGAGCTTACATTGTAGTCGCTGAAATGAAGAAATGAAAAAAGAGAACGAGGCGAGATGTCGTCCAGTATTTATAGTATATGGAGAATGACTCCTAGTGAAAATTTGGGAATTAAAAAGGAGCTAACTCCGATAATATAATTATAAACATATAAATATGAATGTATATATATAAACAAATAAATAAATTCCAAAATAAACTTCAGGTATATTTTGTGCATGATTCTACTCCATAAAAAAAAAAAACTACTTGCTTTGGAAAGGTGCTGAAGCTGTGGGGTCTAGATTGATAACACAGGGTTAGTTGCTTAATAATTTCATATTTCCAAGTGGTACTTGTAGTCAGTGTTAAAGTCGTAATTCAAAGCTAACTGTAAAGTTTGAATTTTCATGCAAGTAAGTCAATAGGAAATATTAGCGCACCCAACATCCCCCACATATACTTTCATCTTGGGAGAGAATACGCTAATCAAGTAGATATACATTAAATAATGATAGGCAAACATGGTCAACAGCGTTGCTTTATTTAAAGAATGCGTTTTTAACGTACAGAGAAACAGTTCAAAATTTCATCCCACCATCTATTGCTCTTGTAATATTCTACAATCAAGTCAACTCATAGCAGACTATGCTATATTAAATATCAGCATGTCTGCTGTAAGCCATTTGTCCGCCATTATAATATCTCTGATTATTGCCATTGTTGTAGGCACGAGTCTTGTAATATGATGCCAGGCAAAGCTAAATTAAATATCGGTGTGCCTGCTCTAGAGCATTTGTTTGTCTCTCATTCTTTATTTCAATTGTAGTCTTTACCACTGTTCTGATGTTATACTATACTAACCTACCGTATTTGTGCAAAGATACTTTTTTCCCTGGAAAAATGCCCTGAAAAATCCCTCTGCGTCATAGCACTAAATGGTGGAGTTGTAGAGAGGAATTTGATATTCCCTAAAAACCCCACCAGTCACGAGATACAAATAATCACAAACCTCAGCCATATGATAAAAACCTAAAATTATCATTCATTTATATAATAAATGCGAATGTCAGTGTGTCACCACCTCACTCTTTTTCAACTATACCCTTAGAGGCCGTGGCCCAACATATCCTACCATATTGGAATCAAGGTGACTTCATGAGCAAATTAAAAACATTCCGGGCCGGATCCGGACAAGCAATTCTGGATTTCCAAGTTTTCATTCCTGCAATTGCTTTCGGATCCCGTCATCTTGGGTTCTACGGATAAAAACAATTAAAGGGACACAACTATCTAAATTTCAATAGCTCATGTTCAAATGAAAAAAAAAATCAGTCAGTCTGTTATATGTAATGCGTGATAGACATTTAGGCAATCTTGTATCTTTCGATACATGACTGACCAGGCAGATTTTTTTCCAGCAGTAGATTGCCGTTTTTCTACGGTAGACCAATTGCCACCCAATGCTATATAACTCGGTCTGTCCTGTTATTTATCTATAGCTGGGGGAGAAGAGGAGGATTCATATTTTTTCCAAGGGTATTAGAACCTAAGTGAAAAAATTACATACATATTTTTTCTGGTTATACGTTAAATTTATAGATATATGTTTATGTTATAGTATAGTAACAGCACTTCAGGCTATATGACAGTTCCCATAAGTGTTACAGGTTCGGTTCCTGTCAGAGAGCGTATAATTTCTGAGAAATTCTTCAAACATTCAGGCCGCTTAATCTAGTTAATACATTTAATTAAAAACAGAGAATTTACTTAAGTAAATTGCATCTATAAAAATAGCGTATAAACAGAAAATATATTAAATAATTGTCGGCCTTAATCCATTTAATAAATTGGTTAAATTATCTGTGAATACGTATTTCTGTGAATTCAAAACATTTTAATCTTCGTCTTACTGCGTCTTTTATCGTCAATTTTAAATTCACAAGATATTTTTTCATGCAAGGCATATATATATATATGTGTGTGTATGTGTGTGTATGTGTGTGTGTGTATGTGTTCACATTTCATGATAGTAAAGATTTCTGATTATCCAGCACAAAATCTGTATTAGATAAATGTGTCTCTATTGCAACGAAAAACTAAAGTAAATTTCGACAGATCAACTAAAATTTATCAAACACATCAGAAACATAGACAGTTCTACAATGAAAACGTATGGCTAACAAAGGAAGCTAATGAAATAAAGTAATCAAAGGAATCTACGAGGAAGCATTAAGTCGTAACTGCTACGAATATATGCATGACAAACAAAAAGCAACAGGATTGTATAGAGACGATCGTTTCACAATCCTCGAATATCGATAAAAACCAAGCAAAATAAGACAAGAAATTATAAATAACTTCAACCAAATAGGATACTAAATCGACATTAAAAAAAAACGTGAAAGAGTTACATATCAACAGTTAAAAAAAAAATACGATAGTCAATTTTACATACATTGCTTATTCCAATAATCTACCCAAACAATAAAAGAAAATCTAAGCTCTCTTCGATGCAGATTATTTGATATTTCTTCAAATGAAACAATCATCAACGATGCCACAAATCTGGATGAAATAGTTCCGCAACAGAGTTTTCAGGGGAAAGTTTATATTGACAAATAAGTGAGAGAAAATCACGAACAATTGAAAATAGGATATGATTCAATCAACCATATAACTAAAAATAGTATAAGCAAAATATTAATCAAACTTCGGACAAGCACTTCTCAGAATATAGCAAAATAAGTAAAGTATTCAAGAGAAATACTCTAACAAGATATAGATACACTAAAAACATTAAAAATCATTAAAAAAACGAGAAAAAATCAGCAGTACACCAAAACATCAACTATCCTCACATATAACTGTAGAGAAAATGCCCACTAAATAGTAAGTTGCTAAAAAGAAATTTAAATAGCAAGCTACAGTAATATCGAAGGAAAATTGGAAAAAAATAACACAAGATACCTAAAAACAATTATCTTTAACCACAAATCATAATTTGTCAAAAAACATATAGAAATCCGATACTATAAAAATTAAAATAAATATATTGTATTGGTAGATCATGTATTAAATATTGGCTTCTACCCATAACCAATTAATGACCAGAGTCTTAAAAATTGGACGGCGTGTATTAATGGGAAAATACCATGAATGTAATTCAAAATTATTTTTCAATCAGTTTTCATATTTTATATATGACATGTGTTTACAACTTGTGTAAAACTACACTCAATCTTTTACTCTTTCTCTCTCTCTGTGTTTATATAGTATTCCCTTGAGTCTCATTTTATTCATATTAACACAGGTATATCCTTATTTCTTACTGTATGATACTTAATCTTTTATGCACTAATCAAAAATATTTGTGTTAATATATGTTTTAGATTTGTTCTTTCAAACTGATTTCACTTTTTTAATCACTGGAGTTCCAGCATGACTATAAGCTATCTATCCATCTAGCTATCTAAAGAGCAATATGTTTGTATTAATCTATTTTTTTTTTATATATATATATATATATATATATATATATATATATATATGTGTGTGTGTGTGTGTGTGTGTGTGTGTGTGTGTGTGTGTGTGTGCACCAAACTTACTTGGAGAATTATTGGCAATTATCAAATTAGCAAAGAAAAGTAATATAAGGGATAAAAGAATATCTATCTATCTATCTATCTATCTATCTATCTATCTATCTATCTATCTATCTATCTATCTCACTTTGTTCGCTATCTATCTATCTATCTATCTAGCTTGCTAGCTATCTCATTTTATTCACTATTCTATTTACATAACTCTTTTTCATTTCTATATATGTATCTATCTGCACTTATAATAATCTATCTATAATCATCTACTACTTTAACCTACATATATATATATATATATATATATATATATATATATATATATATATATATATATATAAAATATATTATATATATATATATATATATATATATATATATATATAAATGCATATTATACATGTGTGTGTTTGTATATATATATATATATATATATATATATATATATATAAATGCATATTATACATGTGTGTGTTTGTGTGTGTATATATATATATATATATATATATATATATATATATATATATATATATATATATATATATACATGCAAAGCCTAACTTCTATATTATTGGGCATTATGAAGGAAAGGGATAAAAGAAAAGGCAAAGAATAAAAAGAAAGAATGAAGAAAGAAAGAAAGAAAGAAAGAAAGAAAGAAAGAAAGAGAGAGAGAGATAAATATGAATTCGCAGAAAAACAAAACTTTCATCATTAGCCAAGTGACCACTCCGAGTTGCTATCTATAATATAGACACTTTCTTTTTCTTTTTTTTTTTTATTCTAATGGACGCTCAGGTGCATGGGGACACTTACGCATGGATAGCTCGAATACTTTTTCGTTGAACCCTCACCTCCGATACGCACTCCACAATTCTTGACCTGTTGGCGCGAAATGCCCGTTCTTTACAAAATCACTTTGTGCCACTGAATGGAAATCCGAAGTGGATTTCCCAGTAAATGTCCTTTTGCAGCCGGAGGCTATTGCTGTCTGTGTCTGAATCATGCCGCTCTTGCTATTCTCACTAAGAGATATTCTACTGAGACCAAACCACAAGTCTTACAGTTCCATAAGCGTTCGTGTATATCTACGAACTTTCTGATGCCATTCTAATTGCCGGTCTGATCACTTCGACATCAGTTATGCCTCTTAGGCTTTAGCAGACATTCTTAAGTGTTCTGTTGAGGGGGTCACATTTGGGATAGTGGTTTAAAACACTGCTATTGTGTGACCTTGCTTCAAAACACATTTGAGAATTGACTGAAGGAAGGAAATACTTTTTCTTACATCCTGCTTTTGAAAACTAGCAAAGTATTAAGGTAGGAAAATGTTGTTAGAATGAGGGAAAGGAGCAATCGACTATGTAATATCTAACTTCCTTTATGGCAGTGAATGCAGATTACTCTCTTCATCTGGATTTGAAACGACAAAGATATTCTACTGGCGGAAGCTAAGAATACCATGAACGGAACAATTTGGCAGGAAGGTTTCTTAAGTAAAATAGGAAATACAAGGAAAGTTATACTTATAATCAGAAAGATATCGTTAAATTTTAATGGACAAGTTATGAGAAAGGAGCGCTTAGAGAATGTAACACTCACAAGACAATGAAATCAAGAGAAGCTTTCGTAAACAGCGAATAAGCTAATTAACTAGTTTTTTCATATATAGAAAACACATACAAAGAAAGGTGTTAAAATACATGGTACAACACTAGCTTGAGAAAAGTCGATCCACAAATATATATAAATTAGCAAATTCTAAGCACGGCACAGATAAAGAGCCAAGGCAGGTGAACATCACCAATACTCAACAAGAGTGTCAACCAAGACAAGAAAAGGAAAGAAGAGACAAGAGTAGATAAAGAAAGAAATAGAATAGAAAAGAAGCCGGGTAAATATCTGTTTGTAGTAAACTCTAAATAAGAGAGAGTGAAAAAGGATGTTAAGTCCGCATGTGGGAGAAATGTATAGTTCTTGCTAAACACACGATGGCATTTACCTAGAATAATAAACTCCTGAATAGCTGAGTAAAATCTATCAAATATGCAGTCAACGAGCCTTCTATCCTTAGGTACCTTAGGGATCAGAAATATGTTTTCAGAACACTGAAACAAGAAAGATTCAATTGTAAAAAAAAGGGGCATATAATTTTCCTTCGAAGCTTTGGTATCGTTCCTAACAGAAACATATCAATCTTTGGTATTATTTCGATGATCATCATCTTCGCCGCAATAGTACACCTGAGAGAGACATATCGTCAGCGGATAACGTAGTCAATGGACAAGAGACATATGACAAGTCAAAGCTCGTCTAATTCAAGAAAACGTTCCCACCTCTGCACTCTCTAACGTGGATTTTCATTAGAGGTCCGATCAAAAGGAGACAGGAAACCGTACGCCTAATATAACAAATCTTTTTCGAAAGTATCTAAGAACATTTTAAAGATTAGGACATAACAAGTATTGAAGTACATTTTTTTAAAACCTATTTTCGTATTTGTCACTTAAATTCACCCCAGACAATGAATAATACAAATTATACAACACAACAATAATTTATTAGATTCCTACGTTTAAGACTGGATACTACTTTTAACTTATTAACTTTGGAAATGACTTAAGGCACTCAGATTATGTTCAGAAAAACTAATCCGATCGAATATTTCAAAAAATAAATAGAAAATTCTTCATTGGCAGCCAATATTGTATTTGAAAAATACACAGTTCTCTCTGGAGATGAAAATCAACTTAGAAGACAACTCTGACCTAGAAAAAAATAGTGATATTAGCTTAGTAAGATGTCTCTGGTGGAGTGGGCGGGAGCCTAATGTGAGCATTTTATTTGGAGTAATGCACTGGTGGGAATAGTTTGATGACCAATTATAATTTATTCATCGATTGATAGCTTGGACTTTCCCGCAATTTTAATAAAATATTAAAATGCAAAACAAGCATATGGGGGATTATTTGATTCAAATCAGTGAATCATTAACATACACACGCACATAATTAGCGAGTCGATAAATAAGCGGACAAGTTGCTAATGTTATTAGCTGAATTTCGATCTGAAAGTTTCACCGCACAATGTCCCACATTATGATTAATATTAATCTAATTCTGTGCATTGACAGATAAAGTTATTATGTTGATAATATTTATATGGAAAATAAATTATTATTTTCTAATAAAATACATTTTATTAAGCTAACATATTTTTAAATATAAACACATTGTTGCTTTCAAGATGTTTCCTTGCAAAATTTATACAGATATTAGAGAAATAACGTCACGTCCCTTTAGGATGTAAGCAAGCATGATTCTCTACACATTCTTTTTATAAGTAACTTGATAAAATCCAAAGAAGAATCTGCAATATTATTAGTCCTGATCTGGCTGCACGGCTCCAGGCACTTTCCCAAGGCCTTAAATTGGCATTGTCCGTCTTTTCTATTACTATTTTCATGGTAATTGTTCGGATGAGCTCTCCCCTATGGTACCTAGACTCTTTGAATTGCATTACTACACTGGCGTCAAGATCTCATCAATTTACCGTTAAGCTGGGTAAATGTAGTCGTAAGTTCTATGCTAACAGTTTCTTTTCTTGTTCTACTCGCAAGTGAATCTCCCTTCCAGCTGCATTCTTTCCAGCCAACTTTAATCTACAAAAATTTAAATGCAATGTCAATCTCTATCTACTGTCCTTACTATTCTTTTCTCTTCCCGATCATTATTAATATTTCTCATCCTAATTTTTCCGCGCCCTATAACCTCTTGTGTCTTAGTGGCTTTACTGCCTTGTAAGGGGGAATACCGATTAAAAAAAAGATCTTGCCATGAATCCTTGGAGAAAAGTGTTTTCTGGCTGCCGTCTCACAGGTTTTTTATCGTTATTACTGACATCTAAGACCAGAAATCCCAGTTTACCCCGCGTTTCAATACATAGCTGGAAGAAGGGAGAAGTGATGAATTCATTAATTCCCCAAGATATTTGTGTGAAAGTGAACGCAACAGATTAGACCGGAACTTGAACTCGACTTGCCAATTCACCTGCCATGTCGATAACCGTTACTGTACCTAAGTAACTCACTCGCAATAACTGACGAACGTGAGGGACAAGATGTATTATATTTTCTTCGGATTATTGCTGCAACAACATCAACAACAAAATCACAAACGTTTTTGAAGGGTTTTATTAAAAATCCACTGTTATTTTCATTAAGGTTTCGCAGCAAATAATAAATGATGTTGAAAATGATTTTTGTTTAACGATGTCTAACTATAAATTTGGCTTGAATATTCGTGCTGTGCATAAAGATACCGGTTCAACACACTTCCTTAAATCTGGCCAAATACATAAGAATTAAATTAGGAAGAGCCTTGTTTGCCCCAGAACTATCCAGGACCCCTAATTACTGCTAAGTAATCAATAATAAATGACGAGTATGCAGTTAAAAACGATAGAAAAAAATACAAATAACAGGTTCAGGTTCACAATTGTTCCTACTCAATAGACTCGAGAATAATTTAAAAAATAACCGTACCGCCTACCCAGAAAAAGTTAAGATAATAAAATAGACCTTATTACCCATAGTGCAACAGTCGTCAGCTGATATTAATAGTCGTGCCAAAAAGCAATACCAAATGGTCTGAACATTGTGTTCGAACACGAAACAGACTGTCACCACATCAGTGTTCACTTTTATATCTTATATTTACGCTCTATCTCTGATAAATATAGCATACGTTAAGACAGTACGTTTATCATATATATATATATATATATATATATATATATATATATATATATATATATATATATGTGTGTGTGTGTGTGTGTGTGTATGCTCTCGTTAGACGATTGAGCACTGTAGAGAAAGGGTAAATAAAAAAAAACAGAGGCTGCTGCTGCTGCTGGTATTAACTCACCGCTCTTCAATTATGAATTGAGCGCTCTTGGCTACTGCTGCATAATAAGTTTAAAATATTCACATTATCTGCCGATAGATTAAGGGTAGAATATCTGACTGATGCTAAATTGGTCCAGATTCGATTCCGGCTCGAAGAAATCTAGCCACATTTGATGAGCTGTGATACAGCGAAGCAGGCTGGATGAATATATATATATATATATATATATATATATATATATATATATATATATATATATATATACTAAAGAGCCTAATAATGTTTGTCTGATCAGCAGACAACTTAGTAAAAGACGAATATCTTTGACAAAAAAAATGTACCGAACTAGGGA